ACGTACGTATTTATTTATTAGCCATACATATCTGATATTTAATGATTTATTTGAAATGTAATGGGTTATAGGATGTGAGTGTTTGTTTAGGATGGAATATTCTTTGAAGAAATCATTACCTAAACTTTTTAAGGCCTTTAACTCATATTTAATTAAGAGGAAAAGGATATGTACGAGAAATGGTGTTTTTGTTTAATTAAATTTTGTAACATATTATTGTAATTTGTAATTGAATTTATCTATTTTTTTAAAGGTATAAATTGCCGAAAATTCAATCTCAGATCTCAAAAAAACTAAATATCATTACATAAAAATTAATTTACGAAAGTAATTTTACATCCATAATGGTTTTACAAAAGAAGATTCTGTTACATATAATTTTATAATTTTATAATTTCAAATTTAATCGTAGCGAGGACTACATTTTCAGCATTAAGAATTTCAAATTTTTATATAAATAATTACTCGAAGCATATTAAAATACTATTAAGTGCGACACGAGGTTACGTTAAAATTTAAATTTACAAATTTTTTTGTTACATTTAATTTTGCAAATTTGCTTTAGTACATTGTTCATAGAGATTTTACGCATATTTCGAGTAGGGATTAAAGTCCGAATACTGATTTGATTTATTATGTTCACCTGCTTTTTAATTTATCTTCACCTGTTTTTAATTGTGTAATAAAAAACATTTGCCATCCCTAGTCTCTAGTTGTAAGACATTGTCCAATAAGTTATAAAAATGCGATAAATTCTACTTACCAAAAAGTGATCAATCTTCCCTTAACATTAATCTTCCCTTAACCTTTACTTGCAAATAAGGATGAATTATTTTACATCTGCCATTCTTTTATTGATCGCCGCTTTTATTGGAGCGAGCGTCGATGCAATTGTTACAGGAAAATTTTTTGACCGAATTGTTGTTGTTGTTTTTGAAAACACTGGATATACTACTGCAATAGCACAACCTTATTTGCAAGATCTAACTAATCGCACTACTGGTCTCCTTTTTACCAGCTTTTATGCGATTGGACATCCGTCACAGGTACTTTTTATTAAAATTTAAAAATGACTTGATTTTTTATTTATTTAATTTTAATTTTAATTTTATTTAATTTTAATTTTATTTAATTTTTAATTTTTATTTAATTTTTAATTTTTATTTAATTTTTAATTTTTATTTAATTTTAATTTTTATTTAATCTTAATTTTTTTTAATTTTAATTTTTTTTTTATTTAATTTTAATTTTTATTTAATTTTAATTTTAATTTTTTTTTAATTTTTAATTTTTATTTTTTATCTTTTATTTTTTTTTAGCCAAATTACATTGCCACTATTTATGGTTCAACCGCTAATGTCACAAGTAATAGTCCGACTAATGTTTCAGGATCTAATTTAGTTGACCTCCTTGAAGCTAAAGGTGTCTCTTGGAAATCTTACAATGAAGACTATCGTATGTACATCATGCTTATCAGATTCTTGATTATTTTATTGCATTTATTTAATTATCTAATTTATTTTACTTATTTTATTTATATAATATTTTTTTTAATTCTTATTCACTTTCTACCATTTGATAGCTGGTAATTGTTTCACTGGTGCTTTCTATCCTTCGGATACAAACCGTCTATACGCAAGAAAGCATAATCCCTTCATGTCAAAAGAGATGATCCTACTCGTTGTGCGAAAATTGTTGATGGTAACCAGCTTGATGCTGACATAAGCGCTAACCAAGTACCACAATTTGTCTATTATGTACCAAATCAAAAAAATGATGCTCATGACACTAATATGACATTTGCGATGAATTGGTTCAGTAATTGGTTTGAGCCAAAACTTAATCAATCTGCATTTACAACAAATACTTTATTCGTTATCACTTTCGATGAAGATGATGACGATGATGAACACAATCATATTTTCACCTGTCTTCTTGGTACTCCTGTTGATCCTCCTCCAAATCATAAAGATAATAGAAATTACACTCTTTACTCTATCTTGAGTACCGTAGAGCAAAATTGGGATCTGGGTAATTTGAATAGAAATGATGCAACTGCGGATCCGTTGACTAAATATCTTAAACTTCAACATTAGATAATATAATTAGGTTAAATTAAATAAATAATATTAGATACATGTTCTCAATTATCATATACTATGTTATTGTTATTACTTTGAATAATTTAAAGATTCTGTAATTTTATAATCTATTCAATTTAATCTTGTTCGTTAGATTTGTTTTTATAGTACTATAAGTACTAGCATATTGGCACGTCTGTATATCCATGCCTGAGATCAAATAAATCAATAAATAGATTATTCAATTTCTGCTCAATAATACAGTACTTATCTCTCCCAAAAAATGATCATCAGTAAAAATCTATTTGGGTAATTAAATAAGTTTTTTTTTTAACTATATATAAAGACCAGTCTTGAATCATGATGAATCAAAATTGGCCAATCATATTCGTTTTATTCCGGACAAAAATTACGTATATAATCTAGATTTATTTGAAAACTATCCAGACTTATTTATTATTGCATATGTCTCTTATTCACGTTAATTTATATGCTCTCCACAATAATAGACATAAATGTAAATTTCTGATTATTTGAGAATTCTAAAGTTCTTATAGATCTAGCAAGTTATTTTTTATAGTAGAAAATAAAGATAATGTTCTTTGGTTTGTATATTCTAATAATGGTGACTTATGCTTATAGCCACTAGTTTAATTAGTGAAAAAAGGCATATTATTTCTTTATTTTATAGAGAAATATCAATTATTGCTAGTATCTTGTTTTTGTTTTACTAATTGTCGCGGCTGATGCTGGAAACGGCTGAAGCTGGAAATTAGGGACCTCGATTTAAAAATATAACCCCTACCAAAATCCACTTATACATGTTTATTATCAAAACTAGCCCTAATTCCTAAGCTAACCATGAAAAAAAAGCTAAAAAAATGCACCCCAAAAATGTTTAAAAATTTCATATTAAAATATTTAAAATTCCAACTTCAGCCATTTCCAGCATAAGCCGCGACACTAATTAAAGTAGTGACTATACTGTAAGTTATAAAACTATACTATGCAATTATATAGAAACATGATGTGATGATTTCAATTAATCTATATATTTAAATAAGTTATTCTTAATTCATCTTTCAGCATGATGATAAGCTCTAATAAGATAAAACAAGCTCAACAAACGTTTTGAGCAAAACAAGCTTCTCATCCTAATTTTGCCTAATTGCACAAAGTTCTTTTGAGTATATGGGTAATATGAATATAGAAAGTCATGAACTCTAAAAATATTTTTTTTACAATCACATAATCAAACGTCAATCAGGTGATTGTACATGTGTACTGCGGTTTGTTAAAACTTTGATCAAAGATGCATCATTTTGTAAATGAATTATTTATTAAAATTACTAATTTTTTTATTTATGCCGAGTACGACCATCATTTAGTATCACTGTTTACAAAATGATTAAAATAATTGATCAGATTTTGCAGATCGAGACAGTGTTCGGCTGCATGATTGTACAAAGTTATTTTTTTATAAAAATATTTGTGTAGTGAATTTTTGATTAGACAATCAAGATAATTGAATTTCGATTTGCAAAATTGGTCAAAATTACAATCTGCGATAACTAATTATATACTGCAAGTTGTTTTAACCAGTAAGTTAGCGGTCAGTATGCTTGTCAACACCTACCTGACAAAATACTTTATATGGTAAGTTACGGTAAGCTACATTGTAGCTTAACATGGCCTTATGTAAGTTACAATATAGTTATTAAAGCTAGTCGAATTATGTAACAATTTCTATCAGCATTAACACCAACTTAACTAAGCCTCAGTGGCTAAACAAATGACCGATTGAATCAAACAGTTTATATAATTTACGTAACGGTAAATTATATAAAGGGAAATTCTATTTTCACCCGGGTTAAAGTCACCCGATATATAATTTTTATTATACTTTATAATATAAATTCATAT